AGAGAGAGAGAGTGAGAGAGAGTTTAAAAGTGATTATAACTATTCAAGAGTTTGTGAGTTTGTGTTTACATGAATTCCTATAAATAGAGGCCAAGTCAAGATAAAGTTGTCGCATGGCAAGGAGGACAACCAAACGGGGCCATAATGTTAACATTTTTTGAGGGAGGAAAGGGCACACTGAGCTGTGAACTTCTCAATGTGGATATTATAGCCCTAACTATTAACACTCAAAAATCAAACAAGATAACATAGCCCTATCCTCACTGTCATACCAACCATGAGAGAGAGACCAACCTTTGTCACCTCCCAATTCTAGAGAGAGAAAGAGAGACCAACCTTTGTTACCTCCCAATTTTAGAGAGAGAACTTGGTTACCTCCCAATTCTAGAGAGAGAAAGAGAGACCAACCTTTGTCACCTCTCAATTCTAGAGAGCGAAAGAGAGACCAACCTTTGTCACCTCGCAATTCTAGAGAGAGAAAAGGCCTAGAGATAGAGGGACAGGGGGACATGGGACGCTTTTTCTCTCTATGACACATATTGCAAAGGTGTTCAACAAAAGGATAAGTAGGGATATTCTCTTTCCAAACCTGGTAGAGAGAGAAACACCATGGTTTTTTTTTTATCAGCATTCCAATACCATCACCATCACAATACGCCACCAATAATTACACCAGAAAAAAAAAATAATGATTTAATGACAGCTTTAAGGATTTCATTATAATAATGAATTAATGATAATGTTAAGGATTTCATGGTTATTAATGCAGACACGATGGATAAGGGCCATATACGAGGAGTTTGAGGAGTTCAAGGGCGATCAAGAGATGCTTATATCCATGCCATCATCATCACATCATGTATTCGATTATATCGAGGGTTTTGTTGCGTGCATAGGCGATGACCCCATAGACGGATGGGACACCATCCCCCCAAATACCATGATCACGCACCATACATATGATCATCATCATGCCGCATGGAACAGCTCATCATCATCCACCGTTCGTTACTGTTTGGAGCTGGCCATCAACTACAACACCGCAGACTCAACCCATGATATCGACAAAGTAAGAACTAACATAGTTCAACTCATGATGTTGAAAAAGCAAGAACATTATTTTCAAAAGGTCGGTGAGCAGCTTTAGAATCGCTTGAAACTGCTCTAAGCGAGGCTTTTCGGTGCTAGACGGCCTCGAATAGGCAAACCCTAATGTTTCCTTGAAAGTAACGTTAACTATTGAAACCTTGGAGATTTCCTTTCCACTAGGTGGCTTTTATTTTTTTTTTCTATAAATTTTATTTATTCATTTTTTCATCGCATCTAGAATCGACAAGCCCAATCAAGACATTCCATATGTGCCCTAAATACCTAATGCCTTTTTCTTAAAACACTGATCTAACCCCTCAAACAGAAGACTACTTATTTTACGGTTCTAGTTTTTGACATTGCTAATGTAATGCCAAACCAGGTTATTTATTTTCATACCGAATCCATCTATTGATCTGTATCAATTTTTATTCTCAATCAATACAGGGGTGCAAATGATGGCAAAAACCCTTCGACAAATTCGGCCATTCGATATCTTCCCTTGATCCCATGAAAGAAACAAAGAGAGATGCCACTTTTAAATCTTTAAGAAGGGGGGAAATTATATGAACTTTCTTTTACTCTGATCAAACAAAAATCAGTGGTAATATTAGGCAATGATGCTTTCAGTTTCACACACATATTTAAGGGTGGGATAGCAAGTCACCCAAAAAAAATGCAAAATCAACAAACAAGTAGTTGGCTTTCCACTGTTTATCTCATTTGTAATGCTCATTATTTTTTCTGTTATTTACAATGGATAATTGTTTAAAATTTTTGTCTATGAAATGTAGAAGATGAAGGCAATGGTGGGTTCACTAAGATTCAGTGGAGGTGTGGTGTATAGTGTGGATGTGAGCTATTTGGACTTCTTGAGTAGGGTGAGTTATTCTGAGGCTAGGGCACGTGCGATTGGCACGTGGGATGCTCCTCATCCTTGGCTCAACATCTTGGTGCCTGTTTCAAGGATTGCTGATTTCGACCGCACGATCTTCAAAGAAACAGTGCGACTTGGCGTGGGTGGGCCTATTCTCGTTTATCCATTGAACTCCAATAAGTAGAAAATCCTGTCCTTTAGTTCAAAGCCCCTACTCGCTACTGATTAATAAGTCTTTTGGATTCTGAGTATACAAACTTCTTTTTTTTTTTTTTTTTTTGGGAAAAGTTTATATAGAGCCGAGGCTTTCAACGGAAGATGTTGTTTTGATGCTCAAATAGTTGTATTTTGTAAAGCATTTTTGGACCATCAATTTCAAGATTTTCAAGTTTTCATAGATTAGTCGATCTATACTACTTTTGAAGCTTTAAATTATATAAATAAAGATAAAAATATATTTTAAAGTTATCACAAAGATTGCCAGTATTAAAACCATATTTCTCGATACTATTTGAAGGTAGGTTCTAATTTGATTGTTTAGAGCCTAAGCTCTATACAAACCGCACCTGGGTAATTGAGTGGGAAAGACAGGCCCCTACCCATTTTTTCATATAGATTAAGGAGTTAGTTACTTGTTTTTTTTTCTTTTTTTTTGAAGATGTCTATGGGTAGTGTCAGCAGTATTGAAAACGAGAACGTGGTAACTAGCTATGGGGGTGCTACCACCACGACCCAGCCCTTTTCTCAAACTCAAGGTTTGCATACTCATATCTAACATAAAAAGTTATACCAACTCTTTTCTTCCCAAAATAAGATTATCAAAAAGAGAAAAGTGCTTCAAAACTTGACTATTTTAAAAAAAAGAAAGACAAAAAAAAAAAAAAAAAAAGCATTATGAATAACATGACTATGTAGAAGCAAACTTTGATTTACATGAGGTGCTGTTCAAAAGTCATTCTTCCTGTGAATTCAGGTGAAATTTCCCTGCCATGGTCACAAAAATCGACCTAGGGTTATATTGTGGAAGCCCATATTGGGGCCTTTTAGCGATGTTTGTTAAGTCCCAGAGTTCTTTTATTTTTTTGTTTGGATAATTCAATGGGAATTGAAACCTCTTTTATTTTTTTGTTTAGATAATTCAATGGGATAAAAAATCACAACGTAGTGACTAAGATATTCGGGTGCTACCACCTAGGGTATTGGGGTGCTACCACCTCGGTCCCAACGCCTTTTCCCATTAAGCCACATAATTTCGTGTTTACATTCTTGGTCCCAATGAAGAAACACACGCACACAATTAAAAACCGAAACTTTACTTTTTTTTTTCAAGAGAGAGAATGCAGTGAATATAGGTTGTCCATTTGAGATGAAAGTCTGAAAAGGATTTGTTTGCCCCTAACTTTGCAGGTTCCTTCATAACCCCTGGATTAACAATCTTTTAGACAAAAATTATTTTGAATTCTTAAAATTTAAATCTAGATGCCCAATGAATGGATTGTGCTCAATAAATTTAGAAAGACAATTTCCGAGATTTGTTTTACGAAATTTCTTTGAGTGAGCTACTTAACTTTAGGCCAAGAGGATGTATGTAACATATTTGGGGCAAATGAAAATCCCCGTGGGACTTAATTGGGGGAGGGCAAACTGCCAAGATCCCACTATAGCAGAGGAAAAACGTTAGTAAACTATTCTCAGATTCACTGTTACATTGTTTAAACTTTAAAGTAAAAAGAATAAAAACAAAAAATTATAAAAATAACAAATATAATAAATTTATTTGTATTTTTTTGCTTTTTTGTCTTTCTATCATTTTGGTAAAGATTGGAAAGTGTTTGCTCAATCAGAGTTATTTCTACATTTTCTCATCTTTTTGGATTATTTCTAAAATACCCCATCACAAATTGATTTAGATGTATTTTGTTTAATTTTACTTTGAACATATTTTTCCTTCGTTTTTTTTGGAATTTTTTTTTTACACTTTTGGCTTGCAGGACCCCCGATCCTACTCGGGCTTAGTAACTTGGACTCAGCTCGAGTTACTCGGCCCGAGGATGGGCTGAGTGCCGACCCCAAGTCGTGCTTTTATACACTGCTATCCACCCCAAATTGGACAACAGTGACCTCATTCAAGATATTCCATGTTCTATTTGATTGTGTAGTATACTTTCATGTATATATAGATAGAGAGAGCACCTTAAGCAAGTGGACATGGATTTTTCAGGTGGAGTGACAGGGCTTCAGCAGTTGTGCCAGATGAAGAGGTTTTCTATCTTGTGGCATTCCTCAGATTCTCTCTCCCTTTTCCTTTAGGCTTCTCGGTTGAAGCAATGCATGCGCAAAACCAGCAAATAATGGAGTTTTGCAAACAAAATGGTATAGGAATGAAGCAATATCTTCCTTATTATAGCAAGCAAAGCGAGTGGGAGGATCATTTTGGGAATAAGTGGGAGGAATATAGGGCAAGGAAAATGAGATACGACCCAATGGCCATTCTAGCACCAGGCCAAAATATTTTCCCAAGGATCATCTCAAGAAGAGAGGAAAAATAGTAGCAATAAGTTTCTTATATACCTTTGATGCTATGGCTTTTAATGCATCCCAATTCTTTGGTGCTGCAAGTTTCTTTCTCTTCCTCTCTCATCTCAAATGTATAAACATAGAGAGAATATTTTTTTTTATACCCTTTAATGCTTCAGCTTTTTAAATATCCGTTACACCCTAGTCACCATATTGTAGTTTTTATTCCGATCACTAATACCACCACCCCACTAACACCTTCAAAAAGCTAACTCACTCCTATTCTACTTGAAAAAATGGATAGGGCCCTCTACCCTACCAAATTACCTAAAATAACCCCACTAACACCCTACCCAAAATAACCCCACTAACACCTTACCCAAAACAATCTCACTAACAACTTCAAAAAGCTAACTTCTATTTTACTTAATAAAACCGATAGGGACCTATCTACCCCCATTGAATTACCCAAAACAAAAACATTGCATGAAAAAACGGATAGGGGCCTTTCTACCCCAATGAATTACCCAAAACAAAAACCCTGCATTGGAGCTTCCCACACAGCCAACCTCTTTATCACCCTTTACTTTTCTCTTCATATTGTATATTAGAATGGTCCTATTAACACCACAAAACTCTTTTCTTAAAGCCGCCCATTCAACCACCACCACTATAACAGTTTCACACAAATCACTTTTCTCCTTTGTTTTATGCGCAAAGCATCTCCCATTCTTTGCCTTCCGTATTTCCCAAACGACCATCCCTTTAATTATCTCCCATAAAATTCTACCTTTCTCTCCTATTTCATGCCTTCTCATTGAGTGAACAATTTATTAACATTTGCAGAAACCGATGTTTGAATATTCAAGGACCTAACTATCCAGCACCAAATAGATTTTACATACAAGCAATGTAGAAGCACATGATCAGCCGATAAATACTACTTGGTTAATTAATACTACTTGGTAAAATTAACGGCATTTAGAGAGAGAATTAAAAATCCAGAAGGGAATCATAAGAAGAAAGATAAGAGTGGGCCCAAAAACAAAAGAGAAAAAAAAAACACCCAAAAAAAAAATATCTCAAAGATCCCTTTCTTTCATTCATAAAAATTCAATCCCCATTACATATACGTTACACCTTCTTTTATAGACTCAATTTCTAATGCCCCACTAACCATAATATAACTTTCCTAAAAATCAAGTTAAGGAAACAAACTCTTTTTCTCTAAATAGGTAATGTTCTACGCCCCTTAATGTTAGGATGAAAAACCTTCCTACGGTCTTTATCTTTTCTAATAACTTAATCTAAAAGGAAACAACCGAATCTATTCCTAACAATATAGGAAACAATCCTAATAATTCTTTCTCAATGAAAAAATTACGCACCTACTTAAAACGTAGAGACCAACCAAACTTTCACTTCCAAACTAAATAAATGATCTTACTAAAATAAGTTTTCATCAACCTAACCTAAAAAACTATTCTAATCCTAATAAATAAAAATAAAAAAGTCTACCTACATCTCTAAAAATAAAATTTGCACCCACCAGATTTTATCTGCATCACCTTATTAGGTAACAGCAGTTTCCAAGTTGTAGAGACCCACTCCGAATTTGGAATTATTTCTGAGTTCTAACACCCTAAGGACCACACTAGCTTCGTACACCATAGGACCACCAAACCATAGTACACATCCCAAACTAGACTCCAAATATCCAGAATTATTCCCAAAATAATTCCATGATGCGTATTTGAAATTCAAAATTCATTGAAGTGGAATATGTTGGGATCAAATCTACTAAAATCTTTCTAAATCACAAAATCCCGGAGAACCGCTTGCTCAGATTCAACCAGCTTAACACAAAATCACAAGAGCTGGCCTACGGATATTTTTCAATTTTTTATTTTTTCCTTTATTTTCTGTTATTTTTTTTACTTTTATACAAGTCTGAGCTGGCCTCTAGTCGACAGTCTGTGAGGGAAAAGTCACTTCTGATGCTATTTGTTCATACATTGAAATTTGACAGTACACATCTCTTTCGACTATTTATTTAACGAGTTTGCATGCTGATCAGGATGGGATGGACCTTAATCAGTCCGTTTCATCTAGAGTTTACATGTAAAATAAAGTACAAACAAGACAAGCCTCACTCCACCTCTTCTTGTCATTAAATAACATCTTATAGGATAAGCTTACCATGATTTTCCTTTAGTGCTAGATCTCAAACGCCACATCTTTATTCATAGGAAAGTAAACATGTTTCCGCAACACCTGCAAACAATTCATTTGTTCATTTTGTTTATGCCTAAATCTATGTCAATTTCTAATGAGATCAACTCAAATTCATGTAAAACGAGTCAAAATTGAACAAATCGATAGAGAAGTGGGGCCAACGAAATTATAGATCCAAAACTAATACAGATCTTGATAGGCATGACATTTTTTGGATCAGCTGGCAGCACTAGCTGTAAATCTCACCTACTAGATCGTAGAAAGCTATGAATTCTAAATTAAAGTAAGAAAGGAAGAAATAAATAAGTAAATAAATAAATAAAGGAGAAAGAAAGATTACATCATGAGAAGCCTAGAGTTGTGGCCTGTATCACATACCTGAGAAGCCCAGAGTTGTGGCCCGTATCAGGAGCACGTGTTAATTTACGCCTTTGATGCCTTCTTTTACTTTATTGATGAATGGCTTTAAAGGATTTGGATCTAAGAGGTCTTATTCCCGGGTTTTTAATTTTTGAGAATTTTATAGAGAAATTTTGAAAGAATTTGGGCTTAGGGTCTCTAGCCTAGGTTTTTTCTAGATCTAATTTTAGAGCCTAAGAGGTCTTCTTTTTTCTAAAATTTTTTAGCATTTTTTCGTTATTTTCTTGAGGATTTGGGGTTTCTTCTATTTTTCAAGGTATTTTTAGACGATTTTCCTAATTTTCTAGGATTTCTACAAAATTTTTAGGATTCTCCATGCGATTTTATGGAATTATAGAGGAGGTTTTCTATTGTATCTACATCGTATATCCCATACAATATTGTATCCAACTCCACCCAGGACATCGATAATCATGATCCTTTCGGAAACTACCTCAAAAAGTGCAGGAAATTGTACCGTCAAAGGTCCACTTCCATCAAAATCTTGTCTTATCCCCTTTCCCTATTAAAATCCTCATGTTTCTTAAGAAAACATCCCTATAAACCACGGTACCCTTCAAAATCTGAGAGCGCCCTTTCAATAATTGATCATCCATCGGTACACCTCCACTTCCACTTCGTGAGTCGAGCACTATTCATCACCTTCAACCTTTTGGCCCCCCATTCCACCTTCATTAATGTGAGTGCAACTAAATTTCTTTGTGCCTTTTTGTTTCTTCCCACGAAAACTTTCGCATCAATTTGTGTAATTACTTGGAAACACATTTTTTATTTTTATTGTTGTGTTTATGTAAATGGGATTTTATATAAAGTTGACACCTTATGTTTTAGAACTAAGGTTTACCTCAAAATCATTGAACAAGGCTGTTTTGATGGTGAAAAGTCATCTAACTGATCTTCTCAATATCAAGATATATAGATATTTTTCTTCTAAAACATAGTACATCATGCAACACATTATATAGTCTATTTTTCAAGATTTTTGTGAATTAAATCTGCTTGATTTGAACCATTTTTAGAGTTTAAAATTTTATAGTTAGAGATAAAAATAGATCCTTGAGCCATCTTAAGAATTTCAACACCAAAATTACATCGCATGACAAAGTTTGGAGCTGCACCTTAATTTGATTTTTAAAGATTGCAACCTTATACAAACCATACCGTTATGTAAAAGTCATAATTTAACAACAACAATAGCGTTAGTTATAAACTTATGAAATTGTTTAAGCACGAGAGAACAATTCCATAGCATATGAATTTTGATATACGACACTATTTTTTACAAAAGTCATTTATTTTGAAAGGTATAGTGAGAATGCTAAATTTCAACCATAGTTTATTGAAAATAAATTTTACTTTATTCTTTTTGATGAATAAAAAATGAAAAATATTTTCTGCTTGTGCAGGAGTATACTATACTTTTGCTCCCTCGAGGTAACACGGAATATTTTTGAGACTCCAGTTTTGGGGGATGTAGCCTTTAGAACATAACAACCAATATCAAAAGGAAGAGAAACAATAAATAGGAAACTCCATGTGACTAAAGAGTTTTAGTTTCCCAAGATTGAATAAGAACTGTCCATTTTTATCTTTAAAAGTAAACATCTGATGATACTTCAGTGGACCCAAGTTACTCTTTTGCCCAAGCCAGTTGTTGTAAATAATATGCTCCCACAGGTACATGGAGCATCCTATACGCGCTCAGTAACTCTATTTCCTTTGGAGAAATGAATATTATTTTAGATTACAGAATCCCGCGCTGTAATAATCATTCGAGTATCTTCCCAACAATTTGGAATCAGCTAATCCCATTATAATATTCTCCCCTATCATCCTCGTTGTAAACTTCACGACGGGCAAGAACTTTTTTCTTTACTTTTCCCTATACCACTTCTAAGTATAATTTGAAACAAAAATGTCTTTATAGCATGAAATTAAAAATTAATTCAAAATTTAATGCCCACAAATCAAAATCTCCATCTTTCTCTCGTTTATGGGCGTCGTTGTAGGCGCCACGCCCATGGAAGCAAACTAGTAAAGCTTGGAATTTTTTTTTTCACTTTGTGAAAGAAAAATTTCGGCCTTTCCTTTCAGTTTAGTAGCCGGGTAAATGGTATCGAAGTCACCGGAAAATGGAAGGGTTTGTGATTTTTAGCCGGAATAGGGGACCTTGGCCCCTGGGAAATCAACAAGCTTCCGACTTTTGGCAAAAGAATCGGCTTTGAACCTTGGTTGCAGTAAAATAGGCTGTTTCTGATTTCGGCCCGAAAACGGGACGTCATTAACCAGGAAATCAGTAGGTTTCTTATTCTTGGAAGGAAAACGTGTCATTGTCACTGGCAAACAATCTGGTTCGCTCTAAAACGGTGCTCGGCTGCCCCAGGCAGAGGGATCTTGGCCGCTGGAAAACCAACAGTACTCTGATTCTTTTGGTCGGGAAGGTAAGCGGAGGAGAGAAAAGCCAAGAGAAAGAGAGCAGGGGGGTGAGAGATTAAGAGCCGTGGGAGTTTGATGAGGACTTTTTTTGGAGAGAGAAGGGAGGGGAAAGTGAGAGGTGGGAGTGACAGTTATTTTTACTCGTGGGAACCAAATTTTGATATAAATATGAATAATGACACTATGAGATCCTCCCACACCAATGTGAGTAAGACTATAAAGGATCATTATTAAATTTTTACACATATATTTAAAAACTTTATCACATGGGTGTGAGATTTGGTGAATGAGTTTATGGATAGGTTTTTTAGAGATAAGTATCAAACTTTAATAATGATCCTCTGGGGTCCTACTCACATAGATGTAGGAGGGTCTTATAGTATCATTACTCTATAAATTTTTAGTTTCATGTAATAAGGGCATTTTTTGTTCTTAATGGTACAGGGAAAAGCCATAATTTTTTTTTTTTGGAATAATGAGTGTAAAAGAGTTTTATTAGGGGAGATGAGGG